CATGCAGATGCTTGAGGTCCCGCGCATCGGTGGGACGGACTATAAGGCGGAGACGGGATACTACATCAAGGAGCGCCAAGGTCCGTCATTGGTCGTTACTCGCTGTGTGCATGCTGAGCCCCCCATGCAGATCCCACTTTCTTCCCTGGTCGGGCGGCGACGATCTACTACCGTGCGCCGCCGCAAGAGAAGGGCGCGCTGTCGGGCATCAAGCGTGATCTGAAGGCTGTGCTCGGTGCGCCCGGGGACCTGGAGATTGGTGTCCTGGGCATCCTGCACCCCAGTGTGCTGGAGAAATTCGAGATCGGGTACCCGTGCTCTGCCCTAGAATTCTCTCTGGAGCCCTTCAAGAAGGAGATGCAAGCGATATGGAGCGACTGATGGGTATACGGTGTAGAATATACAAAAAATGTGAAGGATATAGACGTAGATGGTGCTCCAGGGTTGTATAAGAACATGAAAAAGAATGTAACCTTCCTTTCGCCTAGGTTTTGAGCAGCATCAGGATGCCCACGATTACTACGTATATTGCAACTATGTAAGAATAATACACAAATAAGGAACGGAGTGTCTTCCAAAAAGCAGAGGATAAGTAGGGAACCAAAGACCGTGGAGCAAAACATATTTTTACAGAGTCCAGCGCAAGCGCCACCCTCGCATGCACTGCTTCACCTCTCTAGGATAGAGCAAAGTACAGATGTCAGTCTGTCTTCTCACATCCCTGCCCAGATGTGATATTTAGAGTCATAGACAACAGCACATGTCATAGCAGCCCGGCAGACCGCAAATCCTGATGCAGCCGCGCCTGGATGGCGAGTGCCTGGGCCATGCGCGCATTGTCCTCTGGGTTGTCAGAAGTGAGCGGGAGGATGTACTCGCCCCTTGGCGATACCGTATCCTCCTCCTCCATCCGGAGCACATGCGCGAGCGGATCATCGTCTTCAGACGGGTGACTGTTCGATGAAAAGCCAAGCCCATTGCGGATGAGCGAGCCGTCCGCGAGGCCGTGCAGCCCGAATATGCGCTCGAACGAATGGATGAGCGCGCCATTTGCCGGGCCCGTGGGCCGCCCTTCCGCGGGGTTGTCGCGCTGTGCGCGCAGGATGCCACGCTCCCAGCGCTTCACCCGCCAGAAGCCGAGCAGGGAGGTGAGCAGAATAAACCAGCCTATATGTGGACATTCAGGAGGCGACGCGAATGAGGGGTAGGAAGAGATACGCACCGACTGTCATGAGCAGGAACGAAATCCAGTCGGAGGCACCATCGCCAACGACCAAAGGCGCATTCTCGTCCATTGGCGGAGCGGACGCAGCGGTAGTAGCGTTCCGGTTTTTGTAATACTCGTCCGTATCCAGCGGGGTCGCAACGTACGGCTTCATCCATCCGTCCTGCGTCGTTTCGCTCTGGAGGCCGTCGGCATTGCGGCGCATCGCGAAGCCGTACTGGATAAGGGTAATGCCGAGACCCGCGCGCGAGCCGAGCTTCGCGGCGTGCGTGGTGTGGAGGAGGTACGTGAGGAGGAAACCGACGAACTGGAAGGAGATGCTGACGAGGAGGTTCCAGAGGAAGGAGAACACGGAACCCGTGGGGAGGGCGTCGACGACGACGTCGCCCGCGTTCATCGCGGCCGACGGCGCATGCACTGTCGTCTCCCAGTACGGCGGGACGGAGTCTGCCTGCGCCGAGGAGTAGCTCGGGGGCGCGTCCTTTTGGGACTCCTCCGGGACAAGGTACGTCTCGTCGCCTGTGGTGGCACGCGGGTTAGCACGCTGGCGCGGCTAGATATACGTACGAGGGGCGGAAGATCTGCACGCACCTTGTTGTATGCGCATCGGGCGCGAGGGCTTTGCGACGACGTTGGCGAACACGCCGTCGTTGTGAATCCCCCCGCCGACAGGGCCGCTGGGAGCCTGCTCCTCGAGGCCGAGGCGCTGGACATAGTGGGTGGGGAGGACGGTGGCCGCTGTCCGCCTGAACCAGCCGCCCCTCGATCGCTGTGCATCTACGTCCGTCGCAGGGTTGAATGAGGGCACGAGCCCGTTGGAGTTGCCGAATTCATTCGGTAGCGCGCGGGCGGAGGGACAAGGCGGCGAGCCGGGCGGGGGACGGGCATAGTCGAAATCGGAGCCTTCGAAATTGTACGAGCCTGGTGGGGGCACAGACGGTGGAGCCTGGTCAGGAGACGGGGGCGCAGATTGGTCGTGGAGCAGCGGGTGGTAGTCGTCGTGAGCGAGGGGCTGGTAGCCGTTGCGGGTGGACCGGGGCTGGAGGGGGCGGTCGAGGTCGCCCTCGTCCTCCGAGTCGTCAAAGGCAGCCTCTAGCTCATTGTCAGCGTGGGGATCAGAAAGGGGATTTGGGAGAGGAGCATAGTGGGCATGCGCAGGCATAGACCGAGCGAGGAGAGGAGCAAGAGGGGATGTCGAGGCTGGAGACAAGCGCAGTGGAGACGGGGAGCAGGTGTAGCGCAGAGGATGGACGGATGCGATCTCGCTGCTGCTGCCGCCTGCGGTGCGATACGGCTCAGGCGCCCGTCGTCTGGCCAATCGGGGGCCCCTTTTGTTTGTGTATGTGTGGACTGTGGCGGACACCACGAATGGGCACTGGCGATTGGCCGGCCAACTGGTGCCGTGGTCTGCTCAAGCCAGATCTTGTACTTGGACGGACGGCGTCCGACCATCTCTCCTTCGTGATTGTTGCTGTGTTCCCCTCCAAGCACAAGAAACAGCTCTCGCCCCTTCCATCCAATCGCGGTCTGGTCTTCGTAACCACACCGCACCCTCCGTCACACGCGCACGATGAAACTGATTCGCACAGCCATATCCCATTCAGATATGTTCCTGCGAGCAGAGCACAAGAAGCCAGGCCAATACATAGCGTCATACCGCACCGGAAGCGCATATCGTCTCTAACTAAAAGGGGCCTTGCCTCACGCCGATTGGCCAATCCACAACTCCAGATCAGACGCGAGCGCGTCTCGACACATCTCGACCTCGACAGGGAGCTCCGTGCTCCCCAGGTTCATCCCTCGGCCATGTGGCGGTCTTATCGCCCCGCTGTGCTTCCCCATCGCCCCCGTCCTCGCTGCGCGCGGTGGCCAAGAGGCGACCGGCTGGG